ATTTGACTGTCGTTTGGCTCGTGACATTTGAAACAGAGAAACATGAACATGATGGTTTACAAGGTGTTGTGAGCCTGAGGTTGACCTTGCTTTGACACAAAAATCCTTCCTTTTTCTTATGGAAATCACGCTTTGAAAATACTTTTCAGTATAAGAACAACATGATTTACAAAAGAAAGCAGGAAGGGTTGTATAAAAAAAAAGCTCAACTCCAGCCTCGCTTCCACCTGTAACATGCCTACGTTTTATTTTCAGCAGCTTAACCCAGAACTGAGCAAACAGTACCTTGACAATAATAAACAGAATTACAATAATTACCTGGTTATTTTTGTCTTCATTCCAAAGCCTGCAGCTTCAGATTGCCCATTTCTGCCGTTTGCAATCGCTCAGTCGCAATGTCGTCCATTCCCGGGCGTCCATTTCACCAAGTAATGTACTAAGCTTCCTTTTGAATAAGAACTGCTTTGTGCAACATAACATGAAACAACGCGGTCATGTAGAAATCCTTCATGGACATAACTGAATCCGTAAATTGGAAGGATATATTGGCGTATTACCAAGGATCAAAAGACGAGTGCAGAGAACGGCGTCTTTCCACAAATCCACAAGTCGATCAACTTTCCCAGGCGCAGTGATTTGTCGAGAGGAGATTGGTAACGGTTATCCAATTTCTCATAATCCTTTGCGCGGCTTGTGCAAACTGAGTTTGAGAATTAAGATGGCTCATGCCAGTTTTCGCCTTCTTGACCGTTCTAACTTTACAAGGACAGATGAAAAAACAAGCCAATGCCTAATAGAAGAACTTTGTAGCGTTGAATTATACAATGACAGCTTGAAATATAACAGCTGTTCTTCCGTTATTAGCGGTAAACATGGCAACGTATTTTAACAATTTGACCTATTTGTTGACCCCTAAAAAATGCTTCGAGATTTCAAAAATTCCTTCACGCGTTTCGTACTTGTTAAGAGCATGGGCAAGAGAACACGGGCTACTCATGCGCTGCCTTGACTGCCGCTGATTGTAGGGTGTACGCTTGCGTGCCTGAGCCGATTTTGCTTACAGTCGACTCCTAGCACGCGTTGAAATGTCAGCCGCCTTGCACGAGGGAGAAATAAGCGTGCTTAAGCAACGAGAACGCTGACGTCCCGGAAGTCATGAATAACAACCAGAAGTTCAATGTCTCACTTGATGGAACGCTTCTGTCTCACAAAACGAATCTAAATACAGTGTTTTAAGTCTTTTAACTCCCGCTGCACGAATTTGCGGCGTCAGGGCCGACTGAAAAATAGAAAAGATAAACTTCCGGTTGCCATTTTTTGACGCCCGGAAGGCAACTTTTTCGTTGCTTAAGTTCTCTATTACGTTCCAGACGTATGATGAAATAGTCTTCGAGTTTATTCCAGCCCTCTCAATATGTCAAAGGTATGTGAAATTTTCATGATCTGAAGTTGAAAAAATACAAGATGAACGTTACATATGCGAAAAGAACGTTACATATGTTTCGCTTATGCAACGTCCATCTTGTACTTTTATTCATTTTACTTTTGGAGCCCACGTTGAAGGTTTTCTGTTGCAAACCGAAATATCGGGCAACTATAATTCACTAATTGATTTTTGTTTTCAGTTCCTTACATTTTTTTTTTCTCGCGGTCTTCTTGTCGCAAGGATCAGTTAATTGTTTTATAATTTGACCTTAAGAAACTACGAAGGCGACTGCCCGGGGGGGGGGGGGGGGGGGCCCCCCCTTTCAAAGTTAGGGGGGGGGGGGGAAGGGGGCAAAAAAAAAAAACCAAAAACCACCAAAAAAAAAAGTATTAAAAAAAAAAAAAAGGACGAAGGGACCATCAAACCTGTTACCGCAAAAGAGGAAA